TCGAATGACACCCTCAAGTTCAACAATGCGGTTCATCAGTCTGATGCCATTGTCCTCCTTGGTCTTGTTCGCCGGTCTGTTTGGGTCATCTATTTCGTAGACGCAATTTGCACTCTGTAAATGAAACATCACTCATCGACCTCGCAGCATTCTGATTAAAACTTACGATGCCGAGCTGCGAGCACCGAGAACACGTCGGCCGTTTCCTATCACACTGACGAATTGGTTAAGCAAGATGAACCGCGGAAATAGAGTGTCCTGTACCATGCGTTTTGTTGTGTGGCAATTAAGGCATGACTGCGTCGTGCGGTTGCGACGACTGGCAGGCTAGTGTTAATCCAAGTATTGCACAGTAGACTGGGGTCTTACCGCTTGCGATGATCACCCTCGACAGGGGCAGCGCTCTTCGATGGATTTCGTGGAGACGCAGGTGAGGACATGAGCAACGAGTAGATAGGATACTGGAATATTGTTCAAGGTGAGCATGCTTGCCTTTGTACAGAATTCTGAGCTTGGCATGGAAGGAATGGTGGCAAAAGAACACGAACATGGGAGGAAGTCTAGAAAAGTAGATCAGAAATTTGACATACGCACAGCCTTGAGAAACCGACGTTCCCCGGCGCAGAGATACTTCAGGGAACGGAGAAGCGGCTCGGTTGCAATCAGTATCCATCACTTCGCAATTTTACTTCCGGGACTTGCGTGGAGCCCGGACCAGTGTGAGGTACTGGAGTCTCCGTCAATGGCCAATCGCGATATTTTTACCTTGCCTTTAGTCATGCTCCTTGCCAGCTTGAGCTTCCAGTTGTCGACCTAGTTCCAAATGAACGGACCCTCATCTGCGACGAATTGTAAGATCCGTTCCAATAATAATTTCAAGCTGGTTTGCAGTATTACTGCTCGAAAAAAAACCCAACGGTTGAGAAATCTGGTTATATCATGGATCGAGAAGGCTTCATCATACCAGGAACTTTGAAGAAGAGCCATGCCGCAACGGCATGCCAAGCACTTTCAAGTCCCCCGCTCCGTGACAGGCTGGCGCTCCCTCGGTCGGTCTGCTAGGGGCCATGCAGATCGACAGAATCGTCGGATCGGACAATGGCGCCAAAAGACGCTACTTGCTGATGTGTTATACGACAGTCTGAGGAGAAACCGCGCACGATATTCACGAAAGAGTAAGAAATTGTCGAAAAATCATCGGACACTGGCAGAGTCGGGGTCTCGACAGACGACAATGTTTCGTGTGACAATACAGCCCAAGCGTTTCGCTTCTGAGATGACAGTGAGAAAGCTGTGGGCGCTGCAACAAACAGTTTTATGCTCATCGAGGGAAAAGCTTGTGCCAGTGATTTGGTAAAGACGTTGAAGACTCAAGAGACGGTTTGGTCGAGCTTGGCGAAACCGGCGCCGAGATCCGCGGATCCGAAACCACCGACGTTCACTGTGACAGCACCTCAACTTTGCAACAACTCAAGACTTTCGCTTCTCCTTTGGAAGGCTTGGCTGGACGCTTACGATGCCAGTGGACTATCATGAAGCTGATTGACCTCAGACTGTAGACTCCTTCGATCTGCATCGATTTGGTTCGCGACAATATTATCAAGATTATTATACATAGTATGCTCCGAGTTTTCACCCTCAGGGTTCTGACGTTCTCCGAGTCAGAGTACTCAACTTGAAGATCGCTGGAATGCAAAACTTCGCCGAAACCAGTCTCTAGCCGATTCCGCGCCCGGTCCACTTTTTTCCAGCTCACTAAATCCTGACTTGGACAGTGTTGTCCAGTGAACTGGATTTTCCGTCTTCTCACTTCGGATGATGGTCGTTCACTGCTATAGTCTCTCCCCCATTATTGTGGACAACGACTAGGTGAGAAATCACTATCCCAACCCACGACAACCTTCCAGACATTACTGCGATCGAGCTAAAAAAACGACGACAACTGTCTTACACTGCAGCTGGTTGCGCAGCACCTCTTGTTGTTCGCAGCCCCAAATTCCACTATCCGTCATGGCGCGCAGCAGTCTCCACGATACCCAACTCTACTTGCAGTCGCCACCCCAGGTATGTTCACTCTAATGCCGACGGGACACCTTTCCGTGATCTCACCAAGATAAGCATAGAGGTTTGACGCAATGGCGTCGTTGAAGGCACAGTTCTAATCGTTCGCGAGACCCGCAATGCGCAGTCAATCGCCACTACTCCTTGACGACTCGCGAACTTGAACGGTCAACTGTCTACATATCCCTGACAAGCCCGAATTCCGTATCAGTTTTCATATCATGGCCGAAATACCGACCATCTAGGAGCCCTTCTTCGTGTTTTCCTTTTACAATCTGAAACGCAGCAGCTGCACAAGGAAACATATCACGATTGGGGGACACACGGTCCTCAGATTACGGTATTTATACGGGCCCATGTGAACGGTATGCGACGAGGTAGAAACTTCTAATCATACTGGTGAGTTCTACGTAGACACGGCGCCACAGCCGAGGAGTTTCCGGGAGTAAATGAAACCCCAGATCGAGTTAACAGATCTCAACTGGCAATTTCGGAATAATTCCTCTTGCAAGACTGGTCCTCAGGATACTCACCCTCATTCAACAGATTCCAGTTTCCAGGGAGCTGTTCACCCCAATTTCACGTACTTCGACGGTCAACTACCCGACCTTCCGGTGTATTCTGCATGCTCCCTAGCATGTCAAAGGTATCCTAGGTTAGTCAGAGGTTAGTTCGACCAGAGACCCAAGCAATATGTCGACTAGACTCACGGAGATTTTACCAACCAATCAACTGTGCTCAGGCGTTCCTACCGCCCGACCGACGTCACCCTCACGCCTTGCAGCTGAGGGCTCCCGGCTGGCCCTACGTCACGAGTGAAACGGCGTCAGCGACGGGGCATCGACGACAGTCTGAAGTCCCCCACGTTCTACATCGGCCTGCCGGAATCCTCAGACGATAAGGCTTTCTTCAGCTCCGTTGGGCTTGCCGCTATTCGTGCATTGGTAAGGAAGGCGTCGACGACGTGGACTGTGGTGCGTACAGTGCGGGAGGGTCAGGCCACAACCTTCCAGGTTTTTTGTTCGCCCGATTGTCTAGCAGAGACGTTGTGCCCTCCTTACGGTGTGTTTCTTCGACGGTGATAGGGAAGGTGTTTGTGACTTGGACGGTGGTGCAGCGCGTGAGCCTGAGAGTGCATGAGAATTCAATGCAAAGGATCGAGAGCAGGGCGCTCGACAATTTGCCATGCTGACGGGTTTTGAGGCTAGAAGGAAGAGGGCACGATTGACGAAGAAGGCAAGACACCATATCGTGGCAGCCACTTCTGGGACAATAAAGACTGCCCATTCGAAGTCCACCGTTCCGTTGCGTCGGCGATTTGACCGCGAGGACATAGAGGCCAGTGGAGATCCTGGCCTCGACAAAATTCACCCACATGAGCGGAGGAAAATGCGGTAAAATAATACATACTCTGGATGAAGCGCCTGAACTCCAGCGATGCAGAGATAGATGGGCTCGAGTTTTAGGCCGTTATTGACACAGCTGTACGCGGTACATGCAGATATGTTAGTGGTCGATGTGGCTGAACGGGCCCAGCCTTACAGAAAATCTGACGCAGGGCTCCACTGCTCTCTGGGGAAATACGTCGACGCTGTTTGCGGAAAAATTCCCGAGTCTCCTGCGCATTTATGTGGGTTGTATTAGAGGGTGCTGACTGAGAGAGAGGGTAGATGGGAGGTCTCTCACGTATCCCGTCACCAAAATGGCAGAAGCGGAAATAGTGATGGAAGGAAATATCCCGTGCACGGATTCCAATACCTTCTGGGAAATAGGGCGACTGAATCAACACAGTGAGTGCTCAAGCACTCGAAAACCCCGCCCGCGAAATGACCAACCCATCCCCCTCACTGAATATTCAAACAGGGAAAGATTTGAACATGAGGCGTATCTCGTGGTAACACAGCTAAATTCGCCACAACTTCCGCTGAGTGCGGTGAATGACTGGTCTGGCTTTCAGCGGACAGAAATAATCCAGAAGATCGAGATTCAACTGGCCACTGAACTTACTTGGAACTTACGTCAATTTCCATTCAGCGAAGTCAGTGCCAAAGCGGTTTCGGACCTGGGTGATTGGAATCAAGACTACGCTCCCCGACGGACAAAAGCCTAGAAGTAAAATGGACCTGGTCGTCATCTCAAAGAAACAAGGTGTAGAAAATTAACAAGCCTGAATGGGGAATTGATCCGAACTGACCCGGGACTACCCGACCACGGCGTGTAAATACAAGACTGTTTCTTGGCTTGCACTTTTCCCGGACTGACAACACTGATAAAATTCATCGGCTTCCAGTGTATTCCGCTGAACCTAGCAAAAGTCAAAATGGTATCCACTGATCTTCACTGACTGTGTTCCAGTCAAGTTCCAGTGGACATCTTTGAATATTTGTATGATCATATTCATTCTGAATGCCAAAAACTGCAGTAGTCATTACGTGATCTGAACGACTTTCTTCACGCCAGTAGTAGACTAGAGAGGTTGAAACGAGCCCAGGTCGTCATGTGAAAAAAAAAATTCAGTGGATTCCCTGCTCTCTGTTGTATTTTAGCATGTCTTCTCAGTGGATTTTGTCGTCAAAGACTATCAATTGTGACAGTGAGTTCCAGTCGCTTTCACATGGCAAATAACTAAATTTCCTGCCACCAGAGGTTATTAACTGACTTAGTCCAAGCCACTTGGGTATCTTATTAGATATCTGTTAAGAGGGAAATTGAACTGAAATGTAAACCTGGCGGCTTTCTCACAATCTCATTTACTCATTACATGATTAACTCACTCTTGACTTCTAGGGCTACCTCTACCGAATCTGTCACACACTGTGACAAGGGCGGATCAAGTTCTATTGTGATGGGGAAAAAATGCTATAGCTTCAATTCTTTCATTCTCAACTCACAAGGCTCGTTTCTGGGGTGAAAAATAAACTACGGAGACGACGCAAAAAGGGCCTAACCGGGAATTGAACCCGGGACCTCCTCGACGTGAATCACACAATGTGAACCCCTAACAAGGAATCATACTACTAGACCATCAGGCCGATGAAATGATTAAGGTCTTTGACATATATTATGGTCCTGGGCACGGTCATTTACGGATTCTCCTTCAAATTTATAGCAAGTTAACAGTACCCTCCATAGCTATGTGGCGCCACTATAAATACATTTTTTGAATGGAATTACAAGAGCTATTCGGTTACATCCTCTCACTCTTGATCCTCGCCCAACGAATACCCAAACTCTTCGATTATGACAAGCTCCGGTAAGTCTTGGATATGGAATCGACATCATAAACATTATTCGTCTCATATTTGCTGTCATACAGTATGTGTGGAAGTCGGTACGTGTTGGAACGTCTGGTTGGAACATGGATTTATTTGAGTTTGTTAGGGACCAAACTTGGACCAAACACGGTCAAAGCTGCCTATGTCCAATCGGGTCGTGCTGATCCCACAGTCCTTGAGCACACCATGCACCTAAGTGACACCACCGGTGATTTACGACTTCAAATATATTGAGGCATTGGTTCTCAAGCCTCGAGGAGCACGTCCAACAGCAACTTCTACTACTCTTCTACTGCTTCGTGATCGTGGGATGCTTCGGAGACAAGATCATTATGAAGTAAAGCCAGTTTGCTACTGCTAGGCACCTCCAATCACCATTCTCAGCCACCATGAAGTAAGGTTGCAATTCCGCACCTGGATACTACTGAGCCACCCCAGAGTTGCTGCAATCCAAGCCGAACCCGCCTGGTGGGACCTCAAAGCAGGAGTCGCAAAGACAATCTCGCTCATCAAAGAAGCTGCCTCCAACGGCGCTGAGCTCGTTGGTTTTCCCGAGTCTTTTATTCCTGGATATCCGATGGCTATTTGGGCTCAGCCCTTCAATGCTGTCTTCCTCGCAAAGTTTCAAAAGAACTGTCTCTCAGTACAATCCGAGGAATTCAAAGACATCTTGGTCGCGACCAAGGAAGCCGGAATTTGGTAAATCTCCCTTTTGTGGCAGCAAAATGCGCACCTTCAACTATTGACCTCAGGGTCGTCCTCGGATTCTGCGAGATAGAGGGCGGAAGTATGTACGCTGCTCAAACGATTATCAACTCAGAAGGTGTAGTGGTTTTACATCGGCGCAAGCTCAAGGTACGTTTCGTAGGCATTGAAATATTATTATTGTACAAGACAACTTTTACCAGGCCACGGGACAGGAGCGCACAATTTGGGGGGATGCTCCAGGTTTGCCCCAATGCCCGTTATGAATCATTCTTCAATGTTGCACATAGCTGATTCGCTTCAAAGCGCTGTCAAAGGACCTGGAGGAGTAATAGTTGGCACTTTAAACTGCTGGTTGGTTGAAATTAAAAATGAATCTCCACAACATTATTAATTTTATGATAGGGAGCATCTTCAGCCCTTATTGCGATTCCACCACTACAGTTTGGGAGTACAAGTGCATGTAGCGTCCTGGCCATTTTGTGATTCCGTTGCCGACGGCGCACCGCCTCAATTTTCGTCAGACGCACAAATCATTCAATCCAAGTTTGCAGCACTAGAAGGCCAGATGTTTGTTATTGCGAGCACCCAGCTACTTAGCCCCAAGAATGCGGAGCTCTGCGGGTGTGTACTGTTACAAGCACTGTAAAATCTCCTAATTTCATCCGCAGCCTCAAAGGTACAGGGAGTTGGGAAATGCCTGTATGTGCATCAGTCTCTTACTACAGTGGCTGCGATTAAATCCTTCTCAGATGGGAGGAGGATTTGCGGCAATCTACGCTCCAGATGGAACCCAGATCACCAAGACCATTGCACCAGACCGAGAGGTTATTCTCTATGCAGACATTGATTTGGATGCGACGAGGAAGGCGAAGCTCGTCGCCGATCCAGTTGGACATTAGTGCGCGCTAATTGTGGTTTCCCTCTCAGAATCTGACCTTAGCAGTAGCTCTCGACCGGACCTTCTGTCTTTGAATGTCCACACTCGTCCTAATCCGCTGGTGTCGTATGACCCTCATGAGGGAGGAAGAGACTACACTCTCCTCGGTCGAGCTACACAATGTTAATGAGCTCAAACTCTATTCGATTGAAGTCGTCTCCCATATTTGTGGTAGCGCTCAAGTCGAAAGTGTTTGTTCCATTCTGCAATCATGTATGGCAAATCAGCAACTTGTCTAGAACGGCGATAAAAATGCAAGACCGTGACGGTCCAAAACATTATTTGTGGTGTGGTAAGATGTAATAAAAAGCAAAGCAACGTCAATGATACAGGCAGATATATGCAATTCTAATCAATCTTCAGATGCGTCGAAGCAGTCTCTGCATGCCCATCAGTGAAGGGATTCAAGTCCGAAAGACTCGAGTCGTCTGACGGGGAATGCATGTCTAATGTCCCCGGCGAGCGTATCGGAGACCAATGCGTGGGCGAGCCAATCGCATCAAAGCTGTACGAGCCCGTCGCCCACGACTCCTCTAGGTCGCCCTCCGCCTCGGTGGACGACGCAGGAGAGGCCTTGTTGGACGCCGGGTCGGGAAAGTCGAAACGCTGGCCCGAGCGCACGAGGGGGTCGTCGTCCAGGCCATGTCGAGGGGGTCCTCGAGGTCGGGCGGCTCGTCATGCATCGAGGACGGCGACGACCCCCCGCCGAGCGCATTGAGCCCGAAGCAAAGGTCGTCAGCCCGGGGAGGTCGAGGTCGTCATCCCGCGCGTCAAGCGTCGTGGTTGCAGAACTAGACTCGCTGGGTTCTTGGCGTTTCAGACGGGCGGTCTCGATTTTCGCCTGGGTTTTCCCACCGAGCGGCTCCGCCGTCCGGCGACGGTAAAACAGGAGGTACGCGTTGGCGTTCTAGAACGTGTGAGATCAGCGGGGGGATGCGAGAAAGCACGCGAGGGACTTACAACGGCGTCTTCGGGTTTTGCAGCGGTCACATACGAGTCGTCGAAATGATACCATTTCTGGTTTGCGTGATTGAGTGCATAGGCCCGGTAGTGCCCTCCTCCAAGACCGCCCATATGCTCATCCACACCAAACAAGTCGTAAACCAACGGCTCGTCGGGGTTGCCCAGCTGGAATCCCTCAAGTGGAACCCCGGCTTTAATTAGCCTCCTCGCCGCCGCGCGCTCGCCGACCATCTGCCCTAGATCCAAGCCCTCGACAGGAAAATCCACAAACGCATCAATCTTATCCCGCAGCATTCTACTGTTGCTGAACCGCTTGAGGTGCACAACAAGCACGTCAGGCGCCTTCCAAAGGTCAAACTTCTTCGTCGCTTGCTGATGTTTCTTGCACCGCGGGCAGTACCACAGATCGTCCTCGCCCAGCTGCTCCTCCTTCGTAAACTCATCAAGACAGTCCTGCAGCGATATGCCCTTGTTCTTCTTCTGCTCCGCCTCCCGCTGCGACTCCTCATACTCGGGGTGCACGAACGACCCCCACTGTTCCCATCGCGCGTCCTCGGTGGTCCGGTAAGCACGTACGTCCCCAAAATAAAACGCCTTGAAGTTCTCGTCAAACTCGCACAGCAAGAGGTCTCCCTCTCGCAGCAACGTCGTCTGCGTACCCGCCTTGACCTCCTCCACGCGCGCATCAAGCGTCTCGGCCTTGTTAGAGCTCGTGAACGAGTTCGCCGTCCCGTAGTCCTTCATGTTCGGCTGTACCTTCAGCTGGAACAAGTCAGGCTTCAGGCCACGCAGACGGGCTCGCCATCGCCAACCAACACCGCCTCCATCGGGACGTCCTCGTCCTCGCCAACGATCTTCTCCTCAGTGATGTCCCCCTCGCTCTCCGGCGCATCCTCGACGGGCACGGCATGCTCGACGACGTCCCCATTCGCCTTGAGCTTAATCTCCACGAGCGAGTCCACGGGGGCAACGCCGTTAATCCGTATCTCCTCCACCCCTGTCCCCGCCCCCGGACCGTAGCCGTTGCCCGGCACTTCCCACCTAAACAGCTCCCGCGCATTATTCACCCAGCGTTCAAGCCGCCCCACCACCTGCGCGTATATCGCCGCAGGGTCCCCCGCCTGCTCCGCGCTCAGCACCACGATCGTCGGATGGCCAAAATGCGTGACGGTCTGGTAGCTCGAGTAGGAGCCATACACGGGGCGCGCGGGCGTTGCGGGTGCAGCCGGGCGGTAGTCGGTGAGATAGATGGGGAGGATAAGCGGATCGTGGGGCTGCGGCTTGTAGGTGCGGCTCTGCTGCGCGTGACACGGCAGCTCGTAGCACACAATTTGGTCGTTTTGCGCCATCTCGCCGCAGAGAAGGGAGTCGTCGAGGTTCTTGTAGAATTTGTGCGAGAAGACTTCGAGGGTGAGGAGCTGGGGTGGTCGTCAGTGATGCGACATAGTCATGAGGAAGCGAAGAAAGCAAACATTGTCTGGCGGGGCGCCCATCCACCGACCGAGGAGTTGGCGTAGGTCCCTGAAGGACGCGTCCCGTCCAATCTCAACGGGGACCTAGGACAGTTGGTTATCCGTTCTACAGTGGAGGAAACCAATCACCTTGACGTGCGGCTTGTTCACATCCCACGGTACATAAAATATGCTATGTTTCCATTTTTTCTGCACCGGCAGCGGGAGCGTGAGATACATGAACGGATCGAATGTGATCGAGACCTATCCGTTTATTATCAGTTACGGTTCATCATTGTATCGTATTGCGCACCTTCTGACACTCGGGACACACAAGTGTGCTCTGATACTGCCCCTGGAACAAATCCACAATCACGCTGTCATTCCGCAGCATATACCCGTCCCAGCTCTTCTGAGCGAGTCGTACGAGTTCCTCGTCGCCCCCGCCCTCCCAGTCAGGCTTCTCCACATACGGCTTCTTAATCACACGGTTGAGGTCCTCGTGCAGGCCATCGAGTAGGAACGCAACGAGCTCCTGCGAGTCGTGCTGCTGGTACCCGCTGAACTGCGGCGCGAAGCGCTGGAGCTGCGTCTTGAAGTCACGCGGCGAGTAGGACGTGGACGGGCCATTCGCGGCCCATATGCGCTGCAAGAGCGCACCAAAAGCCTGAGCAATGGCGCCGCCCATGCCGAGGGGG